AGAGAGAGAGAGAGAGAGAGAGAGAGAGAGAGAGAGAGAGAGAGAGAGAGAGAGAGAGAGAGAGAGAGAGAGAGAGAGAGAGAGAGAGAGAGTTAAGGCGGATGGACGTGGAGTTATGTTTTTCTTTGTCTTTCTCAATCTTGTACATAAGTTTTGATCTCGGTTTTGGGCGATCTGCCCTTATTTTTCGATTCGGCATCTCTCCTTGTTTTCGCCTTTGATCGGCGCTCCTTCTCGATTTTTGTCTACTCCATTTTGTATACGACGGATGGATGGGTTCTGCATAAGGGATGGTTGAATGACGTGCTTGTTGTCTAAGCGCCTCTTTTTGTTCATCTTTGCTTGCGATGAATGGCTAATGATAGGGGTTGATGTTGTTGCGATGTCGAATGTATGGTGCGATGTCACTTTGCATAACGGGGAGTATTTGCTGATCGTGAGGTCACTGAATGATTAGATGATTGGGTGATTGTCTAGGCCACGTAGAAATTTTGCATGTAGGATTGAACATTTACTTTTGCACAAGAATCAGCCAACATGCCTGTGTACAACTGAGAACCTCGTGTGCACGCGTGTAAGCGTGATCTGATCAACGCGGCCTACACGTGTCCACACGCAGGCGATTCGCGACCACTGACGAATGCGGCACCTCCAGCATCAGAATAAGTGTGAAATTTCCGTTTTCTTAGGATTTGGGCCGATAGGAATTTCCGCCACCATACTCGGAAATTCCCTTGTCTATCGAAGCACAATCGGATACGTACGCTTGAATAACAAGATGTCGTACACCGTGGACCAGGAATACTTAGAGCACTAGGAGGAAGAATATCTTAGGCGAAGATACCCGGAATTTCCATGTCTAACCGAGAACCGACTGTGCCCCAGGGAGTTTCACTGTGCAGTAACCAGCGACCCGAGGTGCCCCGATTACCCAACTACGTATAACACGCAATACTTCATATCCCCCAGCTTCGTCGTTATCGCTACCAATTTCCCTCCCTTCCACATCCTCCTCCCATACCACCAGCTCACAGTGGTTCCGGGGAACTCCATAGCCCCGTATTGGGCCCACACGCCGTGCAGAAATTGCAGACGACGTGGCAATCGCCGAGCCTCTGGAATTACGAAGCCTAACCGTAACACACGACGACGGTCGCCACGCGTTCACACTCGGAGGTCCGACTCATAGGAATCGCAACCCTTACGTACGGGCCTCTCCCGAACCGTCGTCACTAAACAGACGGATCGGACGACCCAGGATGCACCGCGCATACCATTTGCCTTATGCTGCATGACATCACCCGCCATCAGACCGAAAGTAAACCGTCCCTTAGCCTTATTGCACCTATGCCCCTGAAACCTTGCCACAGGAGATCTCGGTTCTGACCTGGGACTCCACCCCCACTTTCCCAAAAATCCTTGGCACACCCCTTTTCGCACTTCCAGGCCCACATCCCACTCCGATCAGGAAGCCTCGCCAGCCGTGAGGTTGGGCGTCACAACCCCTCCAATCCGCTCATACTAGCCGTCTAGCCAAAGTAAGAACCAGAATAAAAAGGGGCATGATCGACGGCTTAAACCAACTTGCCCCCAAACCGCACAAACACTAGACAGATTAGGTCCGCCGCCCTTCGCCTCAACCATCTATATATGCACATTTTAAATTCAAACCCCAACGACTCTCTTAGCTTACCTATACCAACTTCCTGGATCTGCGGTCCAGCAGTCGCCAGCCACTTTACCATCGAGCCTACCCTGCCCATGGGAAGGTAACAGCCTCCACTTCCCGTTGAGTCGGCTGCACAGTGAAAAGGTAAGCCGCAAAATAATAATGGTGACGCTAATAACCGACGATAATAATTAATAATGAAAATGAAGATGAAAAATGCAATAAATATAGCAAATGAGCCGAGCCGTCGACACACTGAATGAAAGGATGAAAGGAAGGCCTCAATGGCCAAACCAAAGCGCCATCCCAAACGATCGAGGGTCACAAATGAAAGGGCCCCATCCCTGGCACATTGGCGCACCGAACAGCCCCGACCCTTAGGCGCCCAGCCAATAACTCGGGAATCCTCCCTAACCACACCGCTGGCTAGGTGGCCCATAATGTATCAAAATGATAACAGATACCTTTGTAAAGGTAACTGTTCTGACACCACAACCTTAATCACGACCAGAACATCCCGGACCCGACCATAACGTTATTTGTGAAACTTCAGTGCACTGTGGAACGGTGTTGGGCAAGAAATACTTGAGTTTTAAAAATTAAGCTATATACATAGCTACCTCTCACAATTAAGGGGATGCATGCTGCCCCCGCCGTAATTGGCGGTGGTCAGGGAGTAGGGTGGGGTTGTCGGTGGGGGAGCCGGCTAACGCAAAGACCGAGCATTTTGCCAGTAGATGCGCCTCCATCTACTTCCCCCATCCCCCATCGAGTAGCAGCAGTGGCTATGGCCAACACTCTCCCACACACCACACACAACGGACTCACACTCACACACACACCCGTGTTGGTCATTGACCCTACTAATACCGATCAGGGGTATCAAGTGGACTATCATAATTGGTTGGCACTAAGTGCCCGCAGGCGGTCATGGGGCTCGAACCCACAACCTCCTGAATGCCACTTCCACACCACTCAAACCTCAAGTGTGTTTTTTGTTTTACTAGCACACAAGTGCCTAACCAACATAGCTTAGTACCTAATCCCACACAACATTTTTAAGAAAAAGCCAAAAAAGTACCCTGAAAGTCATGTCCGCGAAGAGCGGTTCGTAAAAACGAATTTGGAACCCATGGCCCCGACGGGCAAGGAACTTCTCCACGAATGTTGCCGAGTTGACGTCGGTGCCAACGCCATCTGAGGACATCGAACGGCCAATGACAACATAACCAAAAAAAATCCACTTCTGCACAACCACCGATTTTCAGGGGGAGGTGGAGGGGGTCC